TAGAAAGTCATTAACTGTTTCTGCAGTCTCACCTACTGATTGTATGCTCTCCATACCACCCCGGCCTTCAGTGGCCAGGGCCCCCACACAAGCCAGAGCTGCATCCTCGGGCCCACCTGCCTCCTTATTGCCCACTCACACCAGAGAACCAGAGCTGTCATGAGAAGGTGGGCTCCCCTACCACAAATGCCAGTCCCTTCCTTGAGCACAAAAGAACTTGCTCCCCCCACTCCCTAGCCACTGTCACAGGCTCTAAGTCCCGGGGAGGCCCACGTGTTCAGTCTTTTGCCTCCAGTTCCTCAACACTGGCCAACTGGGTTCTGCCCATAAAACAGTCTCCATCCATGTTTGCAAGGTATGACCCTTATCTTTGACAATTTTACCACTTCCTAGTCCTTACTATAAAGTTAGGTACTCTATAAATGCTTACTGTGTTTAAGTTTAAACCATACTATGCATTTTATTCTTTAAAGTATATTTTGCCTTATTTTTATGTGTGTGCTCTTCCTGGGGTTTGAACTCAGGGCCTGGGCACTATTCCTGGGCCTTTTTGCTCAAGGCTAGTACTGTATCACTTTTACAGCTCCATTTTGGGGGGGGCGGGGTTTAGTGGTTTACTGGAAATAAGAGTCTCAGAGACTTTTCTTCCTGGTTGAACTTTGAATCATGATGCTCAGATCTCAGCTGCCTAAGTAGCTAGGCTATGCCTATACACATGAGCCATTGGTGCCTGGCCCATTTTCTTTTTCCAAAAATTATTCCAGGGATGGTATCTTGATCTAGGCAAGACTCTGTTCTTCAAAACTGAGAAACGTCGGGGTAAGGAGTGCAAGAAACACCAGTGTACATGCAAGTGTACCTGCCTGTGTGGACACCAGGTGGACACCGGCTACTTACTCAGTGCCGCTCTCCACCATCTGGGTGAGGAGAGAGATGCCATCCAGGTTGATGAATTCCTGGGCGAACGTGATATCCCGGGACAGGCTGGCCAAGTCCTTCAGGGCCTCCAGCTTGGCATCCATACTTGACGACTGGATGCGTTCATGGAGCTGCTGGGCATTCTGAGCCTTATGGGGGGGTGGAGGTGGTATAAAAAAGACGACAGTGTTCAAAAGGAAAATTACAACATCACAGAAATGACAGCATCCCTGAAAAATAAAGGCCAGCATCCAGAAGCGGACAATGTGTCTGAGAATACCTGATAGCCTGCGTCTCTCACGGACAGGTGTGAGAGTAAGGGCTAGCACACTGACCATCCATTTCACCTTCTATTTCAAAGAAAAGCAAAGTGAGGTCAGAAGAACACTGAAGCCCCAGAAACTGATCAGGGTGGGGGGGGATAGGATAAGGGGTGAGGCAGATATTTACTTTTGAAGCCCAATCATTTATCTAGAAGTAACTAAAAGCTACTTGCTTTGTTAAGCAATCACATAAGTGCAGACCTCGTACCCATCTCTTCAGCCAATACTTTGAGTAATCACAGCCTACACATTATGTCTGAGAGCTTCATTCCCATTTTTCCCAAGCGTATATTTTTCCCATATGTATTTAAAGAATAAGACAGAAAATACTGAAAATTATTTTATTATAGAACTCACTATGATCTCAATGGCTGCACATACACTAGAACCCTATGTGGCTTTTTAAGATACAAGCCTAGGCCATCTCAAGGGTTTCCTGTGTCCAAAGCCTGGGTGAGGTCCCAGAAAGCATGCCCTTGAAGCATGTCTCTAATTATATGCAGAGGTCCAGGGCTCTAAATAATTTTGGTTTTTACATTTTTGTTCTGTTTGTTTGTTTTGGTGCCAGTCCTAGGGCATGAACTCAGAGTCCAGGCACTATCCCTGAGCTGCTTTGGCTCAAAGCTCGTGTTCTATACCACTTGAGTCATGGCTCCATTTCTGGAGGCCAGGCACTGGTGGCTCACACCTATAATCCTAGCTACTCAGGAGACTGAAATCTGAGAATGGTGGTTCAAAGCCAATCCAGGTAGGACATGGAGCTGTGGTTCAAAGTGGTAGAGCACTAGCCTTGAGGAGGGGAAAAAAAAAAGAGCTAGTCTCATGGACTGTCCTGCCAGGGTTAGCTTCAAACTGTGACCGGTGATCCTCAGATCTCAGCCTCCTGAGTAGCTAGGATTATAGATAGGCTTGAGCCACCAGAACCTGGCTTCTAAATCACTTTGAATGTACCCTCTCTGTGTGAAGACTGGAAGAACCCCAGTTCTGCCTCCCTCCGAATCACTCCCTAGACTTCCCAGCTGGGGTACAATAAGTCCTGCCTGGTCTATTGGGCAAAGGACATTTTGTTGGCCCTTCTATATATGTACCTTTCCAAAAGAACTTTTGCTAAGAAAAATGTCAATAAACGAAGAGGAATCTAGGTAGACAGAATTTATACCTAATTCATTCTACTTCAATGGGAGACCGACCAACAGAAACACTTACTTAAAAGGAAACAAATACTTTAAAAGGGAAAAAATGCTTAAATGGAAATACCACCTCCACAGAATAGAAGCACAACTCAGCATGGCCACGGAGACAGAGACAGAG